ATTCAGCAAGAAAATTCTTTCTAAAAATCCCCTGTTTTTACAAAGAATCTGATCCATAAATGGAAGCATTTTCGTTGGGGGTGCAATTCTGACCCGCAAATCTCTTGCCCGGAGCAGAAAGAGAATCGAGTTCGTTCAAATCCGTTCGAGCGTTCTAAAAATCTCATTTCAGCTGTCACGAAGTCGTGGGAACAACTCTTCGCTGTCACATTCCGGTAGTGGTTGTCAAGAATTCGAACCGAGAGCCCGAAAAAACTCCGCCAACAGTCAGCCAACGCTGCTCAAGTATGTTTTTAATGCTTTTTTTGCATTCATGCAAATTGAAAAATCTCCAGTTTGAGCATGTTTTTCGCATCCATGCAAACTGAAAAATGTGGATAATCACTGGTGCGCACCAGAAAGCCCTTAGCATGTTTTTCTTGCATAATCCTGCCAGTGCGAGCAAAATGAGCATGCACGCTTCAAACGCTAAATTTGAGTAAGTTGTACTTATTTTGATTCACTTTTTCAAATCATGGCTCATAATCCGGCAAAATGTAAGATTAATAGATTTATGAGCTGTTACTGGGGTATAAACGCGCTAGCCGCCGACCAGTATATCAAATTTTCTATTTGTTCATCAAGAGGGATGGCCGGTGCAAACAAATACTGTCTTAAAGTTAGAACGTTCTAATTAACTTAGTCCCTGAACTGACACTGTGCTTACAGTCGCAAAATCTCAACTTCGTTAAAGCTAAGCAGATTGAAATCAGTAGCTCACACAAGGAAATAAAACATCACTGTGAAATTTCAGCTTTCTATCTTTTCTGGTTCTTGAGATCGCTTTCCTGCCAGTATATTTTTGACACCCTTATGTAAGATTCAAGTATGAGCAAATGGTAGTATTAAAACAAGGGTCGCACACAGAGTAGGCGAATGCTTCCGATGTTTCAACTCCCTGCTTTTCTAGTCCTCGAGTTAATAGTGGGTAACAAAAGGCGCAAACACACATACACAGACAACCTCTTGCCATATGCTTCTTTTCATTTGCATAATATGCAACCCAGGCTGAAACGCACCGGGCAGGCCCGTGCGATCATGCGTTTTTGCGCCGGACTTGAAGTACTCAGGCCATTAACTGCATGAATGGCTTTGCTTTACACCTACCTGCTGCGGTCACTAGCATAAATT